CTTAAAAAGAAAATCTTTTGTTTGTTATCATTAAAACTTGAGGGATTTAAGATCATCTTTTTAACTTAACAGTAACTTACAAGTAAAATTCATGTACATGTGTGTACACACTATTATTCATTCAATCACGTGTATTTAATATTATAAGTCTTGTTTTTGTTTTGCATAGGAATGTCATACAAACATGTCATTGTTGTAATTACATACAAGAATTAGAAACTAGAAGATTATTGCTATGGATGACTATAATTATTGGATCATACGTTGCAACATATGAGCACTTCATTCAACCTTTACAAGGCCAACAATATTGGGAGATTACAAATTTTGTTCAACTCACTCCATTTGTAATGAAAAGGAGATCGAGGTGACCAAAGAGATAAAGAAGAAAATATGTGGATGAAGAAGTGTTAGCAACAATAGGTTGAAAAGATCATAACTTGCATTCACATATAGTAGACGTGGTTTACTAAATCACAACAAGGCATGCAAAAAAGATGAAGTGCTTTAAATGCAAATGAAGAGGAAATCAACAGACTTCCAATCTGCCCCTCCAATTGATGAAGCATCAACTAAATATGCTCTACTATCCCAATAATTTTTGCTTCATTTTTATTTAGTGTTTCAAATATATTTGAACTGCATAATACTTATATAATTTTTTTAATTATTGCATAAACAATTACATGAATTTTCCACCACATTCACAATTTCCTTACCACTAATCCTAAACCATAAGTCCTAAAGCCTAAACTTGGGCATCAATGCTAAGATTGACATAAAAGTCCTCTAGCTTGTAATTTTGCTATCCAAAATGATTATGTTAGAGCCTTTGAAATTTACAATCATCTTGTAACTACTAATTATAGTTGAATTACAATTTTTTCTTTCATGATTGATATTTTATTTCGACAGTGTTATTGTGTTTGAGGTTTGTATTTTGTAATATATAGTGTTGCTACCATGTACTTTGGCAACTTTTAAGATCTATGTACATTCACAATAGTTAAGGTCCATGTACCTTAAATTAACCGACGAATGTACAATTTTTTAGTTGATGAAATGAAATAGTTAAGATCCATGTATTGATAATATAATATAATATAAATACATAACAATGTTTCAAGTAATAATAATAGTAATAACAATAATAATAATAAATTATGATATATAATTTATAATATGATATAAGATTATTTTTAATCTATAATAATAGATAAAGTTAATACGATATTTTTGTATATATATTACTTTATACCTAAATATTCTATTAATTAAGGATATATATATATATATATATATATATACATACTAATTAAATTAATTTTAAATTAACAAATATTTTAAGTTACAATTAATAATATTACATTATTTTTTATAATTAATATTAATGAATATACTATTTATTATTTGTTTGTAAATGAGAATTTAATATAATTTAATCTCTTGACTAATAAATACTTATTTTATATATAATTACTAATCGAATGTAATTTCAAATTATTTTCACCAAAAAAAATGGTGTTTTTATAGTTAATAATAATTCCATAATATTTATTGTCTTTTATTTTTTATAACAACCATTTTAATCAAATTTATTCTCTTAATTATTAATTAATATAATTATTAATACTATTAGCTAATAAAATAATCATTTTATATATAATTACTAATTAAATGTAATTTCAAATTATTTTGACCAACAAAAATGTTTTTTCTTATAATTAATAATAATTACATAATATTTATTT